AAAAAATAGCCAGGCATTGTGGCGGACCTGTGGTCCCAGCTACTTGGGAGGTAGAGGCAGGAGACTCGCTTGAGCCCAGGAGTTGTAGGTTGCTGTGAGCTGATGCCAGGGCATTCTACCCAGGGTGACAGCTTGAGGCTCAGTCTCAAAAATAAAATAAAATAAAAAGTGTCCTTCCCTGGGAGAAGAGAGAGGGAAGGCTCTCCCATAGGAGACCTCAAGGCACGTTGCATGCAGATCTCAGTGGCTGTCATGGGTTGTGGGGAGAGGAAGATAGAGAAGTACTTCTAATCAGTACAAAGTCTCCTTCAGGGGATGTTTTGGAACTATGCAGAGGTGGTGGCTGCACCATATTTGTGAATGTACCAAATGCAACTGAACTGTTCACTTTAAAATGATTGTTTCCCTTTTTTTTTTTTTGCGGTTTTCAGCTGGAGTTGGGTTTGAACCCACCACCTCCTACATATGGGGCTGGCGCCCTACTCCTCTGAGCCACTGGCACTGCCCTAAAATGATTTTTTTTTTAATATTAAGTTCATCTTAATTAAAAAAAAATAGCTGAGGCTGGGTGTGGTGGTTTATGCCTATAATTCCAGCACTTTGGGAAGCTGAGCCAGGAAGATCATTTGAGGCTAGGAGTTTGAGATGGACCTACGCAATACACCAAGACCAAGTCTCTGGGGGAAAAAAGGCCAACCACAAAGGAAAACATCATGTTTGTAGTGTCATATATAAAGAGTTTCTAAAAATTAGCAGAAAGATCAATAACCCAATCAGAAAAAATGGGGCAAAGCAGAAATGGAAACAGAAATACCTCTTAACTTGATTCACATAAAGGAAAGGTTGAGTTTCTACCAGAGCAGGACTGGAGAGATTCGACAAGTGTTAGTGGAAAACTGGCTAATTCCACAGCGTCACCTCCACCTGACGGAAGAGCCTGCACCACAATAGCTTATATTATTGACAGGGACTATCTCCAAGATACACTGCTCAACATAAGTATGGGAGGCAAAGCGCCATTTGTGGTACCTCACTGCTTGTAGGTGCATAAAATGTTTCTGGAAAGGGGGTATAAGATGGCTAACACCATGCCTTCAGGAAGGGTTAGGGAACACTTAGTATATGTCCTTTGAACTATCTGAAGTTTATATCTGTTTTGAAAAATAAAGTCAGACCAAATGAATAATAAAGTACTTAGCACGACGCCTGGCACCTGACACACGGACCTGCTCCCCTCCTCACTCGCAGGAGTGAACGGCTCACTGCACAGGGAGGCCACACTCACTAAATGGCAGAGGACACAAAACAAAATGTGACCAGCTGGAAGGAAGAACTGGCCAGCCTTTTCCAAATCCCAGGGTCCCACCCAGCCCAGCGGCCACTTACCTTCCAGAGTTTCCTTCGTCCTGATCGTCTCTTCCGAAATGCTGTTCGACTCAATCACCTGGAAGAAGAGCCCCTGTAAGGGGTCGCTTGCCTTTCCCCTCAGTACCCCCTGGCCAGCCTAGCAGCTGGACCTTCGTATGCACACCCCTCCCCTACAAAAGGCAGCCTGAGTGACAGACTCAGGGACCTGACGCCATGGCAGGGAGTGCTTATGTGCACACAGAGGAGCCCTGCTTGCTCCCAGCTCTCCTGAATTCTGCCTGTGCAGCTTCTGGGTGAATATCTCCTCCTCCTTCCTTTGTTGAAAACATGTATTACATTAAATAAATATCTTTTTCCCTGGGACGCCTATAGAGATTTGTCCTGGGAATCTCTATCTCCCAGTCTTGGCTTCCTATCCACAAAACAAGTATCTGCTGCCATGGGTCAGCGTGTGTACAGCGTGTCTGGGGCCACCTCCTGGGGAGACTTCAATAAATCCTAGTTCTTTTTTCTCCAACACTTCTTTTTAAGAATAGATCCAACTGTCAGAAAAGAAAGGATTAAAAAAAAAAAAATCACCCTGGCAAGTATAACCATGAGAAAAGTCAAAAGACAACCAATAGGCTCTCGGCTACTTCTTGGCAGAAGTTTCCAATCTCCTGCCCAAGCTGGATGCCCTCTCTCTGAGCCTGTGGTTGGCTAGAGTCACCACTGCAGATCAAGGCAGCACTGGGCTGAGCAGTTACCTCCATCATTTTGCTGCTCCGATTTCTGTTCAGACTTCCCAAGTTCTGTTTTAGTCTCAAATGGAATTATCTGAGCCCCCTTGAACATAATTTATATATACTGCAGTGAAGATGAGGCATGCCTTAAACAGAATTCTTTTAAAAAATTCCATATTAAATACACGAGACCCCAAATTCAAATTCAGTTGTCCCTGGAACTAGACTTCTGAATCCAGGGACATAATAGGTCAGAGTGAGGTCCCAATGTGTGTGTGGAAAATCAAAAGATGGGGACTTCTCACCTGAGGTCACTACTTGGCCCCAGAGACCCTGGGTAGGGGGCAACCTCAAGCCTTTGTTGTGTCCCACGCTCTGTGGAACCACAGCAGCCAAATCTCCCCTGCTAAGGAGATCCAGGTCCTTGGGTGCAGGCCTGTCTCTTCCTGCCCTGAGCAGAGAATCAGGACAGACATGTGCACATATGCTAATTTGGGTTTCTAGGGGATCCAGGTCCTGGGTGCAGGCCTGTCTCCTCCTGCCCTGAGCAGAGAATCAGGACAGACATGTGCACATATGCTAATTTGGGTTTCTTCCTTTTCATTCATCTAAAGATCTGAGGAGGGAGTGCACTTGCTAAAAACTGTCCCTCCCTGTCACCCAATGGGCACAATTTAAGGGTATATGGCATACCGTCTGGGCACAACTATAACCATATCTAACAAATGAAAACACTGTAACCTAATTGTACCCTCATATTAATCTGAAAAAAGTAAAATAAAAAAAAAATAATAAGTGTCTTCCCTGGGAAAAGAGGAGGGAAGGCTCTCCCATAGGAAACCGCAAGGCACACAGATCTGCTTTTACCCAAAAGGGCGTCCTAGACTTAGAACTCCTAAAAACTTACTGCCCATGTGCTTAGCTCTGGTTTAAGTGTGCTTAGAGGAATCAGGAGCTCAAAAAACACTGAGTAGTGCCTTGTAAACAGGCAACTGCCAGCCTGATGCTAGCCTTCCCTCCTTCTAAGGGGTGATTTTTGGTGTTCTGAGTACCTTCCATCAACCTCACAGGCAGTGGCGCTGGATACCTCTGCCACCAATGTGCTGGGGACCTGGGCAAGTTATTCCATCTTGGAGTCTTGGTTTGCTTAATTATGAAATGGAGCCAATACTGACCCACGCAGTTAAAAGGTGAAATGGAGCAATGTGGGGCCTGGCACAGGTGTGGCACCACTGCAGCAGGCATGACCCGGGCTACCTGGGTGCTGGCCTCTCAGAGGGACTGGGAGATTGCTGAGATGCTAGAAAGATGTTTTGGGGATTTCTAGACTTGGAGTAAAACTGATATTGGTGGCAGTAGCCTCTCTAGGGGAAGCTTCCCCCAGCTTTCCAGACCCCACTCCAGAACAGCAACTGTTCCACTGTTACTAAACCTCCTGAGGACTGGCAGAAGGGGTAACCCTCCATTCAGCACCTAGTTGGAGATGGGAAGCCCCAGTGATGGGGAGGGCTCTCCTCCACATCCCGACCAGCTTTAAGGTATAGAGCCTGGGGCCCCAGGTGCCAGGAAGGAGAGGATGGATGCCACAGTGAGGCCCACAAGCCAGCCCAGCAGGACAAGTCAGGCTGGGAGGCTGGAGGGAGTCTGTCCTCTGTACTGAAGCCACACCTCTCCAGCCTGCTCTGTGGAGGACCCAGCCAAGTCATTCAGACCATGTTGGGTTCCATAGCCAGTATGGCTTGCTGCCGGTCTACAGAGGTCTGGGGGGTTCCTTGTCTGAGCCAGGGCACCCCTTCCTGGCTGCCTCCAATGTTGGAAAAGAGAGGTCAGCAAACACCAAGCCCTTCCCACCCGGCCCTGAGGCCCCAGCAGGAAGGGCAGCAGCCTACATGGGAGTGCTGGGATGCGCACAGGGCCTCCAGCGCCTGCAGTCTGTTTTCGGCAACCAGGAGCTTCTCCCGCAGCCGCTCTGCCTCTTGCTTGCTCTGGGCTTCTGCCCGCTGCAGCAGCTCATAGTCCAGCATCTTCTTCTCGGCCAGCGAGATCTGCTCCTTGAGGAACTCAATAGCCTGAGCCTGGCCCCTGTACTCAGCATCCAGCTTCTCCAGCTCATGTACTCGCAGCTCAGCATCTCGGCGCTGGTCCTGGGCCTCCTGCAGCTCCAGCCGGTGCTGGCCGGCCTGTGCCTCCAATTGGGCCCGCCAGTGCTGCCGCAGCCCCGCCACCTCCTCCTGTGCCTCCTGCAGCCTCTGCCGCAGGGCCTCCTTCTCCTTCACGTGCACGGCCATCTCCAGGTCGTGCTTGGCGCGCAGATTGCCCAGCTCCAGCTGGTGCTCCATCTTGATCCCCTCCATCACAGCCTTCAGCTCCCCAATCTCCTTCTGCTGGGCGCCTGGGCCCGAGCTGAGAGTGGCCTTGAGGTCCTCCAGGGACTTCTGGTGGTCAGAGGCCAGAGAGTCTAGCTTGGACTTCCAGTTGTCCATGAGTCCCATGTTCTCACTGGTGGCCTGCTGGACCTTGTCCTTGAGGTCAGCCACCTCCTGTGCATACTTATCGTTGGCTGCCCGGAGCTTGTCCACCTCCACCTGGTAGGCCTTCAGTGCCTTCTCATACTTGTCCCGTAGCACCCCGCTCTCCCGCTGGTGCTCCTTGCTGGCTGACAGCAACCGCTCCCGCAGCCGCAGGATCTCAGCAGCATCAGGGTGGTCCGGGGGTGGCGGGCCCGAGTGCAACAGACACTGCTGCAGCTCCTCGATCTCGCCACGGCGTAGGCTTAGCTCCTCTTCTAGCTGCATCACTCGCGACTTCTCAGCCACTGTGGTCAGCTGCCAGAGAGAAGGAGACAGGGGTCAGCAGGTCAGCCAGAGGGCGAGGAGGACAGTCTGGAGGGGGGTCCTTATCATTTCACCATTTAAGGATGCCCACCCTAAAGGGAAGGACGTGAGAAGGAAGGGCACCCACTGCCACCTGCGTGCCATGGGACACAGAGGCCCTGCCCACCACAGCTTCCAGAAAGACTCCCTTGGCTCATGCCCCAGTGACTCAGGAAGCTAGCTATTCCCTCTGTCTTCAGTGGCTTGGGACAACTCAGCAGTTAAAAGAAACCACCCATTTGAGGTTATGGCTTTATGTTAACATTATTTTTAAGAAGCAGAGGCTGGCGGTGTCCATAGCTCAGTGGGTAGGGTGCCAGCTGCATACACCAAGGCTGGCGGGTTCGAACTCGGCCTGGGCCAGCTAAAACAACAATGACAACTGCAACAAAAAAAAATAACCAGGTGTTATGGTGGGCACCTATAGTCCCAGCTACTTGGGAGTTTGAGGCAAGAGAATCGCTTAAGCTCAGGAGTTTGAGGTTGTTGTGAGCTGTGACACCATGGCACTCTACCCAGGGCAACAGCTTGAGACTCTGTCTCAAAAAAAAAAAAGCAGCAGAAGCTGCAGGGTAAATTCTACATCATCTTGCCCTAGAAAGGTCTCTAGCCAAGGAGCTGGCTGGCTGAAAGGGGTGGACAAGGACAGGTCCAGTTTAATGCCTAAAGCAAGAAAGAATGAAGGCAGCCAGACCTGTCTTTCAATGGAAAATCCTGGGATCAGAGGCCCCATCCCTCAACACCCACCTTGATGAATGGTCAAAGAAGTAGAAAACAATGTATTTTCAAGTTTTAAATTTTTTATGAGCTTAAACAATTTTCAGTTTAGTAAACCTGTTTCTGTTTCTTAATTAGGTTGAACCCTAGATCAAGATGCCTCTTTGTCTGGAGGGCTCCAGCTCCATCCCAGAGGGACTGGGTTGGTTTCTGCATGCAGCCTTCATGCACATGAGCTGTTACTGCACAAGCACAGGTCCTGGGCAATGGCCGTGTGTGCCAACAGAACCCTGCATGTCTCCAGATACCCACACTCATGCACACACCCACTTGTGTGCTGCAGCCAACATGCAAAAACTACCCACTGTCTACTACACACCCACACGCTGTTTATGGGGTGTTTTTCCTAATCACTGCTCACTGCCTGTTTAGCTCCCTCGACAGGAGAACTGCCACTAGACTGACTGCAGGGCTGGCCAGCTGTGTGGACGTGAGTGGTGGGCCTGGAGCATGGGACTCAGACTCTCACCCTGGGACTGGAAATCTCGCCCCCAAGCAGAGTTTTCTCAAAAGCCAGACCCTGGGCTGGCAGAGGCCCATCCCTAGGGACACCCTCACTCCCAAGTCTCCCCCACCTTCTTGGCCTTGAGTTCTTCAGTCCAGCCCCTCCTGCCATCACCTTTTAGATTCCCTGGCACAGAAAAACTGGGATCTGCAGATCCCAAATGTTCCCTGCTCCCTACTCTGCTGCCCTGAGCACCCTCAGCTGGGGAGACAGGAGGCATGGACATGCTATCTCTGTGCTCATGTAAGGGGAGAATGGCTCTTACATGACAAGTGGCCCAAAGCCTTGTCGTGGCAGTGTATGGCAGGGGTAGGGGGTTACATGACACTCTCAGCTATGGGGGCCATGAGTTGGGAAGCTAAGACCCGGAGAACAAAGGGCCCCCTCCCAGAACCATCACTCGACTGCGGAGCATAAGCACATTTCTGTATCTCGACTTTCTTCCTAGAGGGTATGCAAAAGAAAAACAATGATGACAGCAACCAAAGGCAGAGTAAATAATAAAAGAGAGAAGCCAAGGGGGGCGGTGGTGGGCACAGGCTGGCGGCCAGGTGGGCGCGTTACCCTGTTGTCCGCTAATTCTCTGAGCAGCCGCTCGGCCTGCGCCTTCTCCAGTAGCAGGCTCTGCTCCAGCTCCCCAATGCGCGCGTGTTCCAGCTGCGTCTGGGTCTGCTCCACCCAGGGTGGGACGTGGTGGGGGGATGGGGACACGGGAAGGGGCACGGGAACAAGGAAGCCAGAGAAACAGAGAGAAAGAAAGAGAGAGAGAGAGAGAGGAGGCGTCATCTTCTGTGAACAAGGTGAGGAGAGCAGGTCAGTGAGCCAGAATCACTCAGGAGAGCAGGGCCTGGGGGGTGCAGATGAGGTCTGACACTCCCTCTTTGCTGTGTCCTGGTGGGTTTGTATAGGGCACAGGTAAGGCTGCAGCAACCCTCCCTCACTGGCTCCTGCTGGGGATGGCAATGGGCACCCTGGTTCCCTCACCCCCAACAGCCTCTACCCTTGCAGGTACCACTCCCTATTCCTGGTGAAGGGCCCCAGCCTATTCCATCCCCCACTCAGCAGGATCCCATACATAGGAGGCCCTAGGGGTGATGATGAATAAGGACGCTAGGATTTCTGCTCCCCCAGGCTTGTGCTGAAGGTGGAAGAACCAACAGCATGGAAAGTTTTCAAAAATGTACCCATGCTATTGTGATTCTCTTGGCTGGGCCTCCTCGGTGGAGGCTGGGCTGTGCCTCTCACTGCCGGGCCCCATCAGTGCCCACCCCCTTGGGCCCCACAGAGCATGCCTGGTCTCCAGAAAGCACAAGGGCACTTTTGTCCCAGCTCCACAATATCCACTTCATACGCTGTCAAAGCCCAACATTCTCAGGGTGTCAAGACTGGCATTTGGGTTTCCCATAACAGATCTTCAGGAAGAAACAAGGAGGGTGAGGGCACTCCCTCCAGGGCACCCAGAGTGGGATGGAAACCAAGGTCATCCTGAGGAGACGTGAGAGGGTCTTCCTCAACCTCCAGGAGAGACAGGGCTGACACGGTTTGGGGCAGCAGCTCTGAAGAGGCAGGGCAGCACACAGGAGCAGAAACAATTATAAAAACCCAGAAGCTTATTCACTGGTGGTGGTACAAAAACCGATACCACCTGACTAGAAATACTCCTGTAATTCAGAACTATGAAGATGATTATGTCTTTTGACCTATTTCTTATATTTTCTAAAAGGAACAATAAAAAAGATTCCTGCCATCTCTCTTCTTCTCTCCTAAGAGGGCAGCTCCAGGGCCAACATGCAGTCAGACTCCACATCTTCTAGGAAATCACAGGCTGCTGCTGGTGGCTCAATCCCAGCCTCACAAGGCCTAGGCTCCCACCCCCGAAGGGCACAACAGCTCTGCCCAGACCTCACAGATGGGCATAAGAGAATGGGTGGAATGCCTCAGGTGCTTGCTTCATGTATGTAAGTCCATCCAGAGTTCAAGATGAGCTCTAGCCCTGGGGCACAGCAAGGGGGCAGTGTAGGGGAGGGCCAGCGGGTAGAGGGCAAGTTCTGGGTTGACTAGTGTCCCCCTAAATTTCCTGTAGTCCAACCACAGGCACTTAGGGACAGACGATAGGGGCACTGCTGAGGGCATGGTGAGTGGCGGCCGCTATACTCCTGGTATCCACCACTGTGGGGTCCCATGGAATTAACGTTCACAAAGCTATGGACGAGGTGCCTGGGGGCAGCGTAAGGGTTAATGTAATTTACCTCTTGCACTGCCTCTGGAACCCAACCCCAACATAAAGGGTGTCTCCCAGAGCACAGCAGAGAGGGGTCAGGCAGGGAGAGACAGGCTGAGGCTCAGCACCACCCAGCAACTCTGAGCAGAGTGAGACCTGGAACTTGCATTTCCAGCTGGCACTTTTACCCCTGAATCAGTCGGACTCCCTGGAGGGGAGGTGCAGATCTCCTGTACCAACACAGCAGTGAGGGAGGCTCTCAAAGAGTTGGGGGTGGGTGGGTGGGTGGGTCCTGTTTCCCTGCCCTAATTTCAATCCTGGAAATGCAGGCAAGCCTTGCCTATGGCCCTAGGCCTGTGGTTCCCGCCTTCTACTCACACATGCCATGTCTAGCCCACTCCTGAAGCACATAGCTGCTCGGGACACCTTTCAGGCAATTAACGGCTTATTTTATTAATAAATTTGGGGTATGGTTTCCCCAGAGATGCCAGAGGCTCCTGAGGATAGCAGCACCACACCCTCTTCTTGGAGCACCTCAGAGATATCTCAACAAATGGCTGATTCTACATTCATAAAACTGGTTCTGTTAAAATGGATATTCCTATGCAAATAGAAAATACTGGGCACGTTTAGTTAACAATGTAAAAACACAAACTCCCTGGATGATTAAACAATAAGAAAATCCCAATCCTGTCAAGTCAAAGTAGCTATAGACGTCCCCACCCAGGTAATGGCAGGGGGTGCACAAATGTTTTCATGATTGGCTGGGTGCAGTGGCTCATGCCTATAATCGCAGCACTTGGGAAGCCAAGGGGGATGGATTGCCGGAGCTTACAGGTTTGAGACCAGCCTGAGCCAGAGCAAGACCCCATCTCTAAAAAACAGTCAGGCACTGTAGTGGTGCCAGTAGTCCCAGCTACTTGGGAGGCTGAGGCCAAAGAATCACTTTAGCCCAGGAGTTTGAGGTTGCTGTGAGCTAGGATACCATAGCACTCTACTGAGGGTGACCAAGTGGCACTCTGTCTCAAAAAAAAATAAAAATAAATAAAAATAAAATGTTTTCATGATACAGAATGGCAATACCCACTGGAGAACCATAAAATATGCTCTCAGCCTATGACCCAGGAAGTCCACTCCTGGAAAAGCACCTGGCCATGTCCTGGCATGAACAAGAGACACACAGAGAAAGCTACCAGGTGACAGGGTCCCCACATGCAAGTGGCTTATATGCACTTGGGGGAGAGAGTGGTTGGGATGGAGATCAGAGAAGAAATGCAATTTATGGTGAGACCTGAAGGATAAGAAGGGACTCCCTGCACAAGGTGGGGCATGGAGGAAAAGGCAAATGCTTCAGGCAGGGGGACCAGCATGTGCAAAAGCCCAGAGGCAGGGCACAGCTTAGGGTGGTCTGGAAACAACAAAGACCCCAGCGTATCTGGATACATCAGGGCTGGACTGGAGGAGAGGTTGGTCCCTGAGGGTCTCCTCTGGGCCACTCTGCAGAGCCTGGACGGTATTTGCTGTCATGGTGCAGGATGTGTGAGCAGGGAAGGGGAAAGACCTTATTTATGTTTTTAAAACCTGTGGTCATAGGATGTTTGGGATATGAGAGAGGCCATGGGTCAGGGTACAGCTTAAAGAAGATTGGCTATGAGTTGATATCTGTTAAAGCTGGGTGATGAGTAAGTGGAAATTCATTATACCATCTTCTCCATTTCTGTCCAGGTTTAAAAACTTCCAACACTAAAAATGAAAAAGGTATTTTTAAAAAGACTATGCTGGCTTCAGTCTGAGAAACAGACATTGGGAAAAAAAGAGAGGAAGGAGAGAGGCTGCCTTAGTGCTGGCCCTGGTCCATGGAGGCTGCTGTCGGAATGTGAATTATTATGGAGACAAGGTCAAGAGGATTTTCGGTGGTGGGATGAGGGGAAGAGAAGGTTCAAGATGAGCTCTAGCTACGGTGCCTCAGTCACCACATGGACTGCAGGGCCAATTCCTGAGATGGGAACAGTAAGGGGGTGGTGTCAAGGAAGCCAAGGCGTAGAGGGCAAGTTGTAGGCTGACTAATGCCCCCCGAAATTTGATGCCCACTCAGAACCTCGGAATTGGCCTTGTTCAGAATAGGGTCTTTGTACACGTAATTAGTTACGATGAGGTCTGGATTAGGGTGGACCTGAAATCCATGATTATAAGGAAGCCACGTGAAGAGACACACAGGGAAAGCTGCCAGGTTGACGACTGGCAGAGATTGGCCTGACGTAGCTACAAGCTGAGGAACACTACAGTGCCAGCGATCCTGTGGAAAGCTAGGAGAGAAGCATGGAGCAGATTCTCCAACACCCTGGATCTGGATTTTTGGCCTTCAGAACCGTGAGAGCATACATTCGTGTTGTGGCAACGCATTACTGAAATCCCAAGAAATGCCTGTTCCTTACTCATCGGGGTGGGCATGCCAGTGTGGCACTGGGAGGAGGTGTGGGAATCACAAGGTTTATCCAGGGCATCTGTCTGAGCCCACAGACTGGCAACTCTCAGGGTGCATGCGGACCAGAGGAAAAGGGCCCAGGACTGAGTTCTTGGGCTGCTTGACATCCAGAGGTCAGAAAGGAGTGGGCATCAGCAGAGGAAGCTGGACGTTGGAAAGAGGGCACCTAGTGCAGCTGGGGAAGTGTGAATAGGAGAGGACATCACAAGTTGAGCTGCTCTTGGGAAGTTTTGCGATAAGGACATGCAGAGATGGATGATATAGCTAGAGGAGAGCAGGAGGCCAAGGAAGGATTCTGGTTTTTATTTTTTACTTTTAAGCTAGGTGGGGGTCACCTTCTGAGTACACTGCATGGGTATACAGCACACTTGGAAATAACTACAACCGGACTTTAACCTTACAAAAGCAAACTGTAACCTAATCGTATGTAGTCCCATATTAGTTTGAAATTTTAAAATTATAATTTTTTTAAAAAAGTAGATGGGGGTAGGTGGGACTTAGGGTCATTTTGCCTTCTGGTTGCCATAAATATGATCACAATTCAATGCATGCAATAAAAAAATGGCCACAATGGGACTCTACTGCACTTCCCACTGAACTAGCTGTCTCTGTCTGCCTGCTCCCTGCCTCTCCCAGCCAGGACTATTTGGTCTGGGTTGGACACCTGATCCAGAGCCAGGTAGCCCATTGGCTAACCTAGGGCCAGAGACTGTCATGGAGACAGTAGATAGATGGTAGGCTAGGCCAAGAGAAGGGTGTGGCTCTGCTAGGAGGCTGGAGACACAGTGAGACACAGACAGACAGACACAACCTAAGCTGGGACACTTGGGCACAGCTCCTGATGCTGTTTCTGGCTCCAGTTCCCCAGACAGCCAGACCTTGGGGCCGTGCAATTTCCTGCAGCCCTTTAGTAAGTCTACAGTGCTTTCCCCAGAAGCCCACCCCAGCCATGGAAAAGGCAGCCAAGAGTAAACACCGTGGCCTGTCCCCTTGGGGAAAACCTAACCAGAACACCCTGATGCTAGGCAGGCGCTCCTACTGAGGCTGTGCTCCCACAGCCCTTCTTTAAGCTCAGATAGCGACCCTAGGCAGATCATACATCTCCTCCCACCCCCAAACCAGTCTGTCACTAGCTGTCTCACCCCTGCCTCTCTTAACCTGGAACAGAAAACCCATTTACATACTTTTGCTGGCACGGAAGTAGAAGTCATAGGGGTCTTAATGTGGCTCTTTCATAATTTTAGAAACTGTAAATTCTAACCCACCTAATGGGTATGATTAATACCAGGGGTCCTCAAACCTTTTAAACAGGGAGTCAGTTCACTGCTCCTTAGACCACTGGAGGGCCGGACTGTGGGCCCCAGGACGAGTCGGCTGCTAAGTAGGACAGGCAACAATGGCAAAAACACCCGGATAAATGTCCTAGGCAGGCCGCATGTGGCCCATGGGCTGTAGTTTGAAGACGCCTGATTAATACTATTCAGATGATGGACACATATATACCCCTGACCCCCATGTGTCAAAAAGATTTGTACCTCCTTAATAAAATTTTTTTAAATGTAATTTTTGATTTGACCTCAGAAATGATCTAGTGCAGTGTTTCCCAAAGTGTGGTCCCTAGACCATCATCACCTGGGAACTTGTTGGGGTTCCATCCAGTCCTACTGGAAGTGGGGCCTGGCATTGTGTGTTTGAATAAGTCCTCCTGAGAGCCACCAATCCAGTTCGACCTCCTCATTTTACACATGAGGAAACTGAGGCCTGGGAAAGGGAAGAGGCCAATCAAGGCCAGAACCAGGCTATGGAGAGGGAATGAACTGTGTCCTACCCTACCTGATGGCTCCAGGAAGTCTCATCTTTCCTGGCCTCCTGCCTATTCAAATGTGGCCTCATGAGCCCTATGGTCTCTGCATGGCTTTATGAGGAGGGTTTAGGAGGTGGTCGCTTTACTAACTGCTCTGAGCACCTCTAGTCCCTCAGCTCAGAAAGGGGCGTCAGGGGCAGCACCTGTGGCTCAAAGGAGAAGGGCGCTGGCCCCATATGCTGGAGGTGGCAGGTTCAAACCCAGCCCCGGCCAAAAACTGCAAAAAAAAAAAAAAAGAAAGGGGCATCAGGTTGAAGGAGGAAAGATATAATCTTTGTCCAGATCTGTACGTCCAGGTGCCATAAGTGAGGAAAGACAGCTTCACCACCTTATGGGAGCGTCAGGAGTTGAGTACTGGTCCCTGGGATAGAAAGGACTTGGTCGAGTCCTTTTGCCTTTCTGAGCCTCAGTTTCTCCATCTATAAATTCTGTGACTACTTCCAGCCAAAATTTTACCTAGAATCCAAGAGGAACTAAGGGTTTAAAAGACACCATTAGGGCTGCTGCACAGCAAGAAGAGGTGGGGGAGTCCAGCCCTATGTCATTAGACCTAGTTCTATACCTTCCCTGCCCTCAGTCCATCCTGCCCATCTGCCCACCCCAGCCAGCTGCTGAGAGGAGAGCATAGCCATTCTGGGGCTCCTGGAGCGGAGCTGCATGTCCCCTGACATAACAGTCTCTTGTGGCCTGTACCTGCCCTCTTCATCCAGGGTGTAACCTCTGACCCTTCTCCATGTCTCCCTGTGATCCCTCCAGTCCCCTCCCGGGGAGCCCAGAAGTGCTGCCTGGACCTCATGGACATTTGCTGCAGCAAAGGCTGGGCCTGGGGAGGGGCCCTTGGTGGTTACCTCCAGGTCTCCCTTCGTGATGGATTCCTCCTCCACTCGGAACTGCAGATCCTCTACCTTCCTGTGGGGGGAGAGAAGGAGCTGACCCGGCTTTGTCCAGAATGCTGAGGCTCACCGAGTCAACAATGGCAGAGAGGTAAGGCATCAAAATGGCCCAGAGTCCATGCTCAGCCCAGGCAGAGGGGACTGTCCCAACAGAACAGGGACTTGCCCACAGTCCTATCACTGAGGGGGGCAGAACCTCCTACAAACCTCCATACTTCCAACATGCCAAACTACACTCTAAGCAGACACCAATGACTCTAAAATGGGGTGTTTCATGCAATGCCCTTCCTCCTTGGGGTGGTGAGGAGTAAGGACGCAGTAGATTGTAGAAGGAAGCAAAGTGATGTTAGTGAGAATGCTGTTTTTATCACTGCAGGGAACAGACACCACCACAAGGAACAATCTGTGCAGAGGGTGGAAGAAAGGAAGGGAGGACACAGGCCTCCTTCGCTGCTGACCCTGCTGTCATCCACAGGCCCCCAAATCAGGGGTTAAGTTCCCAATCTGCACTCTCTAGGCTGCTCCTGGGTGTAGAGAGCCCCAGCACCCTGCTGCTCAATGTTCTCATCCACACATGTGCCAACACAGTGGAGGGGAAAGACATAGGCCCACCTCATATTACAGCCACAACTAAGAGCTGTAAGCTGTTCTTACTGGGGAGTCTAGACAGCTCCCAGAATTCCAATAAGGAAACTGAGGCCCAGAGAGGGCAAGTGACCTGCCCAAGGTCACACAGCAAGTACAGGGCACTGCTGGAACTTGCACCCAAACCCCTCCCAAAACAACTCCCATGATCTCTTCAAGATCTGTTTGTTTGTCGGCATCAGGCGCATCGCCATGGGAACCAGATGTGTGGGCCCCGATGACTGTCTTAAGCAGATATAAATAAACCCTCATCTCCCCAAGTCAGACAGTAACAACAGCCTGTGGAACACATGGCTTGGCTGAAAGCCCAAAAAACAGACCCAAGTGGGGCTGCTAAACATGGGGCTGGTACTGCATGGAGGAAGGGGGGAGATGGTCATGAACTGGGAGGGAAAAGAGAATCCTTGAAAGGAGACAAACCCCTATCCACTGTCAGCTCTGTGTCCCACCAGGTGACCCAGGACCAAGTCAGGCCTGAGTCCCTACTGGTGGGGAGATGGGCTGTGCTGCATCTTTCAGCAGGTTTCTTAGGTCTTGTTAAAGCCCTTCTGCTCCTGTCCTTGGCCAGACACCTACCAGGGTGGGTGAGCACCTCCTCTCATCCCTGGAGCAGCCTCAAAAACACACAGATAGTACCACAATCCCCATATGCCAGTATGGCAGGGCACAAGAACCAGCATCCCCACCATGTCCCTTCCCTGTGCTCACTTTCCTCATGTGTGACATGGGGCAGTACCTGGCTCCTGGGCTAATAGTAAGATGGAAGGAAATGATGCCAGTGAAGCATGTAGCACAAGGCTGACACCAGGACACAAGGTGTCTCAGGAGTCCTCTGCTGCTGCTTCCTAGAGCCTCCATTTCCAACCATGTGAAACGAGAGCAGAACCCCAGGACAGGCGCTATGAACTCCTCTCACAAAACTTGGCCCAGGAGGGCATTGTGTGTGTGTGGACTGGCTCATGGGGGGCGGGGGGGGGCTGGGCCTTCCTCTTGATGCATGACTTCCAGGGACACCTGGTATGACAGCAAACAAATGTGGTGTCCCTGGGTGCCCAGCACCATGCTGGCTACTCTACTCCAGTGATCTTGTGAATCTGCCTAACTGCATGTGGAAGATAGGGATCAGCACTGCACTTCACAGATCAGAAGAATGAGGCCCACAGAGCTCCTCTCGCTAGTCCAGGTGACAGAGCCAGCGAAGGTAGGGGGTGGAATCTGGGTCCCCTACTTCCCAGCCTGAGCTCTTCCTTGTCCTTCCTAGCGGGGCTCAGGAAACACCCTCCCCAGGGCAGGTGGGGCAGTGCACACCTCCTCTCCTCTTCCAGCTGGTTGGACAGGTCCACCTTTTCCTTCCTCACGCTGTCCACTAGCAGCCGGGCCCGCTGTAGTTTCTCTTCGGCTTCTGCAACATACTGGGCCCCAAGTAAGGGCCAGGACACGATCAGCCTCCTGAACAGGGAGTCCAGTTGGAGGGATTGATAGGAGAAAGGCAAAGAAGGGGCAGGGAGCCAGGCCTGGAACCCCATATGCCCTTACTCCCCCACCAACCCCATTGGGCATGGACAGTGGATCTAGATGTGAGGACAGAGGGCCCTCAGAGCACCGGGGAAACAGAGGCAGGCCTTACCCAGTGAGATCCTCAAGCCCACATGCCTTAATACCTGCCTCCCACCCCCAGCCCATATGAGCCTGTCTTAGGCCCTAAGACCTACTATCTTATGAAGGCCCCTGTCACAGCACACACATGAATTTGACCTTACGAATCCTGGCACTCAAGCCAGGTCTCAAATGGGAACATGGGACAGGCGCCCAGGGACCCAGAAGGGTACTCTCACATGGGAAATAAACATCAGAGTAAAAAGAAGACAAGACAGCAACAGCCCCAGGGCTTGGGGTGGGGGTTACTTCCCTGAAATCCAAGCCCTAAATCTGTTCAAATACATGGTCTGAAATATGGACAGTTGTGTACAAAAATGTTTCCTGCTGTATTATGTAGAAAAAGTGAAAAATTGGAAATAATCTAAACAATTAGGAGAATGGCCACATTAGTAAGGACATGGCCTGTGATGGATGGCAACACAGGCATTAAGATGGAGAAGACCTTTCCAGGACCTAGAAAATGCTTGCACTATAACAAGTTGGGAAAAAAACCCAGCATACACAAATTTATAGCCAGGCTCTGAAAGCAGATGTACATATTCCTACCCATAGAGAGAAAAGACTAGAAGGAAATTCACCAGGTCACTGGTGCTCATCTCTGGAAAGGAGGGCATAGGTGCTGCATGGGTACATCTTAGTATTTCTCTGCACCCCCAGGTTCTCCATTCTGAGTGTGTGTGACTTTAAAAGACTGCCTGGAGAAGGTGCATCCTCCACTTGCCACCCACCTGCTCGTGCTGTGCCTTGAGCAGGGCGATCTCCTTCTCCACCTCGCAGATGTGGCTTGTGGCCTTGGCCACCTCAGCCCGTTCCAGGTCTCGTTCAGCCAGTAACTGCTCAATGTGCTGCTGCTTCTCCTTCAAGGCCTCTTGCAAGGCTGTTGTGCCTGAGATCTTGCGGGCATAGCGCGAAGAGGTCTCTGTGAGCTGCAAGAAGGCATAGGTGCAGGTGGGTCAGTTGGGCTGATCCAGCCTAACCCATAGCAACCCAGCAGGCAGGGAGCTCAAGTACCTCAAATCCCAGGGTCCTGCTCTTCCCTCACCAGTACCTTAGATACCCTGGCCCTTGTCAACTCATGCAGGGAGGAAATCTGATGTTGGAGATTCAGGAAACTTTCCCTCTCAGGTCAGTCAGCTCCTGATGATCAGAGCCCCTGGGGCTTTGCTCAGAATGGGTTCCCTCACCTTGGCCACCTTCTTCTGGGCCAGGAGAAGCCTCCCACCCTAGACTGGGCTTGGAAAGAAGGCCTTTGGCCCATACCCACTAAGCAGCTTCCTCTTCTCCTCTCACCCAGGATCCCTATGCCAGTCCTTCTGGACCCTCTGCCCTGCATCTGTATGACCCTCCTTTGACTCCAGGGGAGGGCTTATACTACCAACAAATCAATAATATAAAAATAACAATAAATGTAAATGAATCAATCTTCCCTATTAAAAGATATGCACTTTCATCTTTGTTAAAAAACCCCAAACTAAAGGTCAGGCATGGTGGCTTATGCCTGTAATCCTAGCATTCTGGGAGGCCAAGGAGAGTGAATTGCTTTAGCTCAGGAGTTTGAGATGAACCTGAGCAAGTGCAAGACCCCATCTCTATAAACAGAAAAATCAGACAGGCACTGTAGCCAGAGCCTATAGTCCCAGCTACTCGGGAGGCTAAGGCAAGAGAGTCACTTGAGCCCAAGAATTTGAGGTTGCTGTGAGCTATGATGTCAAGCACTCTACAGAGGGTGACAAAATGAGACTCTAAAAACAAAAAACAAAAAAACTGAGGAATGACTAGAACCAGAGCAAGTTGGAGACAGGTTGCAACGCCCGGATCCCACCATTTCTAACCCCTTATACACACATTTGAGTACCCCTTCCCCAGCCCTGCCCTCACCAGGCCACTGCGGCTGGGTCGGCCCCCGACAGAAGAGGCCACAGAGCTGACAGAGCTGATGGAGGAACTGCTGGGACTGTGGGTCAATGCTGAGACACCCATGGCCATACGCTTAGTCTTCTTGGCTTTGGCTGGGCTGGTGGACGGGAAGCCGATGCGGATCACCTTGTGGATGGGTGCAAAGAGACCAAACTTGGGTGGGCACTGGAAATATCTAGGGAGGCAGGAGAGACACATGTTGCTGTCATGGGCCCACAGCCTGGAGCCTCACCTGCCTCCCCCTCCTCTTCAGAGCCCAGCAGAAAAAGAGAGGTACCTCCTTAAGGCACTATTACCCACACCCCAAGGTAGAAATTCTCCAGACCAATAGACAGGATTCTTAGAAAGGGAACAGAGGTGAGTAGGGCCTAAGAGTCTCTGCAGCTGTGAACAGCCAATAGGAATACTCTTGAGGGAACAGCAGTTACTGGGATGCCATTATGCCAGTCTCTGTATATAAATGCTCATTTCAATCCCTCAATGTTACTTATACTCACAGATGAGGAAATTTAGGCTCAGAGAGGTTAAGTAACTTGCTCACAGGCACACAGCTGGTTAAGTGGCAAAGCTGGCTTTGGGCCCCCACCAAGTCTGCTGGGTCCCAAAGACCACTATGCTTGGCTCTCATAGTCCTCAGCGGCCCCTGCTCTCAGGCTGTCCTTGGACCACCCCCAGAACCAAGGAATCCCATCAGCTCTCTGTCTGGTGGTCCCTGCATGGAAAAGCAACAGCCTGATGGAGATACCTTGGGGTGGCCTGGGGGCTGCTGCCCAACCTGCCCCTGCATCCTGAAAGCAATAGTGAGTTGAGAGAAACATTTATCTTGAAAACAGGGAGGCAAATGTCATGGAAACCTGAGATTCTCATTTTCTCTCAGAAAGTCTCTGGTCACGGATTCCATGTTGGACCACAAGAATGGGGTCTTTCCAGGTTCTGATTTACCTTGAATCTGCCACCTTATTCCACCTCCTCCCACCTTCCAGTCTTTGCTCAAGACTGTCCCTGCCACCCTCTGGCCTATCTCCTCCCACTGCTTCAAACTGTCACAGCCTTATCTGAGCCAGAGTCCAGCCCAGGCACTCAGGGTGTCTCACCCCAGTTCACACCCATGACAGACACTGCCCACTGACCACACTTTCCCACATCCCCAGCGAACCCAGACACAGCCTTAGACCCTCCTAGACCAGCAACCTCGATAATCAGTTCCCTTTCACCAGAAATGATGTGAGACCTGGGACTCATGTCTGAGGTCCACCTCTAGCCACATATCACTGGACACTGTCTTGTTATTTCATGTGTCCTTGGGGAACTGGCAGAAGGCAGGGACTGCTCCCTCTTCTTTTTGAGAGCTCCTGCCCCACTTTGCGTATGGCATGAAGAAGGGAACTTGGTAATCCATTCCTGGGTTGGTGGGTATTTAGGCTGTTTTTACATTTTGGCGATTATAAATTGAGCTGGAATGAACAGTATAGTGCAAGTGTCCCTGTGGTAAGAGGATTTTTTTTCTTCTGTGGTATATGTATACCATGGAATCCTATTCAGCCACTAAGAAAGATGGAGACTTTACATCCTTTGCTTTAACCTGGACAGATGTGGAACACATTATTCTTAATAAAGCATCACAAGAATGGAGAAATAAGGGCGGTGCCTGTGGCTCAGCGGAGTAAGCCACATATGCCGGAGGTGGTGGGTTTAAACCTAGCCCTGGTCAAAAACTGCAAAAAAAAAAAAAAAAAAAGAATGGAGAAATAAGAATCCTATGTACTCAATTCTGATATGAGGACAATTAAGGTCCTAGTACACAGTGAGGGGTGGGGGATGGGGAGAGCTGAGAAAGGGAAGGAGGGAGGGAATGGGAGGTCAAGGGATGTGGTGTAGCTTTTGGGGGCCAGATGCAAATGTAAGAGGGTCCTTATCTAACAAAAGCAATCAATGCAACCTGGTTCTGTGAATACTCAATGAATCCCCAACAAAAAAAAAAAAAAAAAGAAGGGAACTTGGGACAGCAGATTCTCCTAGAGCTTGCCTGTGTGACCTTGAGAATAACCTTGCCTATGTGACCTTGAGAATAACCTCTCTGGCTTCCAGTTTCTCATCTGAAAAACAGGATGATAATCCTATCACTTGCCTTAGCGGGGTGTTGCGAGGAAAGAGTGGAGAAAGCACCTCTAGTGTGATGTCTGCCATGATACCCCCAATGCTGGCTTCTCAGTGCCCCATCCCTATCCCCTGCACCCATCCCAGGCACAGAGGAGGCCATCTAGTACTCCTCAAAAGAAGCCCACCATACCTGGTACCCGCCACCGCCCCATCATTCTTCCCAAGGGGCTCGTCCAGCTCCACGCCACACCACTCGCCCTTGGCAAAGTCTGTCTCCCCCACGTACCGCACCACACCAGTCTTCGTCCCACCAACCTGTCGACACACAGAGAGTCAGGTCCAGAAGATGCAGTGGGCACAGGCAGAGATGGCATGGATCCCATCCTTCCTTTCCAGTATGCAGGGGACAGGGGAGGAACTGAGAGGTAAAGAGGGGGAGACGCCCAAGGACAGCTGGGAGGAGGTTAACCAGTGCCTCTAGGGCTGTCTCATATAGGAACACAGATTTTGCAGGCAGACACACAAACCTGCATTTAAATGCTGTCAGTTTCATGCTGTGTGAGCCCAGACAAGTTACCTAACCCTCTGAGCCTCACCACCTTTATGTGTAAAAAGAGGTTTTGTGAGAATTAAGTCTTACATATACAGTATTTGGTACAAACTAGAGCCTCAGTGAATTTTATCCTTAACATAGTTTTAATTGTGGTTTCCAGTGGCTGGCAGAGGGCCGATGGGAGTTATTGGTAAATGGGTATAAAGTTTCAGTTACAAAAGACGAAAAGTTCTGGAGATTTGTTATACAACAATGTGAATATACTTACTGCTACTGCACTGTACACCTAAAAAATGGTTAAGATGGTAAATTTTGTTACATATTTTTTACCACAATTAAAAATATCTCACAGTAGGCGGTGCCTGTAGCTCAGTAGGTAGGGTGCCAGCTACATACACCAAGGCAGGCAGGTTCGAACCCAGCCGGGGCCAGTTAAAACAACAATGACAACTGCAACAACAACAAAAAAATAGCTGGGTGTTATGGTGGGTGCCTGTAGTCCCAGATACTTTGGAGGCTGAGGCAAGAGAATTGCTTAAGCCCAGGAGTCTGAGGTTGCTGTGAGCTATGACTCCATAGCCTACCCAGGGCGACAGCTTGAGTCTGTCTCAAAAAAAAATCTCACAGGCAGTCTACTTGCTCAAGACTTTTGGGGTATGGCTCTGGGCCATGATCTTCAAACTTGGCTCAGAATAAATCTCTTTAAATTATTTTACAGAAGGAGGAAGGGAGGGAAGAAGGAAGGAAGGAAAGAAAGAAGGAAAGAGAAAAAGTAGTTTTGTGACCAAATAAATTAGGAAAAATGTACATTAGATCCCCTTCCAGAAAAACTGATACTTGGTAATGTACTAAAAGCTTTAATTCATGCAATAAAAAAACAAACAAAATCTCATAGGATGGATAACAAAAAGTGTGATTATTACTGTAAAAAATAGTATTTATATAAATACTTTAAAATGTCAAAAGTCCAAGTTACATATATGCATAGATTAAAAAGTCAAATACATCCAAAGCCTCAGAAAGCCCCAAAAGTTTTTCCCTGGAAATGAACTCTTTTATTTTTTAAGCAGGATCTTCTGGAGTTTTCCTCACTAGCTCTAATTTATTCTTTACTTCTTAATTTTTCAATTTTTGGTGACATCTACCAGCTTCCCACCAAGGACAGTGAGGCACAAGCTTCCAGTCCCCACCAGGTTCACTCCACATCTCTGGCTCTCCTTCCGAAGCAGTCATATGTGAACTCTCGTTAGACTCTGGGCCGACAGGACTGTGGCTGAAGGAACAGGACTCACAGATGAGGTTGGTATGTTGCAGGCACTTTTTCCTTTTCAGCACAATTATTTTTCCCCAAACAGATAACAATTATTTTTTGTTCGTTTGTTTTTGAGACAAGAGTCTCAAGCTGTTGCCTTGGGTAGAATGCTATGGCATCACAGCTCACAGCAAACTCAAATTCTTGGGCTTAGCGATTCTCTTGCCTCAGCCTCCCGAGTAGCTGGAACTACAGGTGACCACCACAACGCCTGGCTATTTTTTGTTGTTGCTGCAGTTGTCATTGTTGTTTTAGCTGGCCCCGGCTGGGTTTAAACCTGCCAGCCTCGGTGTATGTGGCCAGCACCCTATCCTCTGAGCTACGGGCGCCTTTTTTAATGACCGTTTGCCTAGTTTTTATGGTCTAAACATTAATTCAACCCCAAACTTTCAAAAGTCTAAATCTCCTGCCAAGATTTCAAGGGCATTGGGAATTCTATCAAGTTCTTTCTGAAGATGTCTCTCTGAGAGCCATGGGGCCCACTCCAGACAAACTGGCCACCTACAGGCCCGTCTGCAGCCTGGTCACCAGTCTGGGATCTCCTGTCACCATTATCCTGAAGTGCCCTTCACTTCTCTCCTGGGCTCAATCTTGTTTCCTGGCTCCCACATCTTCTTCTTGCTTTGATAGAGCACCTCCTCCTATAGCTTTCTAAGAAAACATACATGAAGAAATAAAATATTCAAGATTTTCATATCTGAAAATATTTTTTCTTTTTGAAATTTTCTTTTTCTTTTTTTTTTTTTTTTTTGAGACAGAGTCTCAAGCTGTCCCCCTGGGTAGAGTGCTGTGGCATTATAGCTCACAGCAACCTCCAACTCCTGGGCTCAAACGAGTCTCCTGCCTCCGCCTCCCAAGTAGCTGGGACCACAGGCGCCCGCCATACGCCCGGCTATTTTTTGGTTGCAGCCATTGTTGTTGTTTGGCGGGTCCAGGCTGGATTTGAACCCGCCACCTTAGGTGTACGTGGCTGGCACCTTAGCCGGTTGAGCTACAGGCGCCGAGCCTTAAAATTTTCTTTCTCAAAGACATAATAGGCTTTAATCATGTCTTAAAACATTTTTATTCTAACTTGCTTTTTTAAAAATGTAGGTAAAAATTCACCTAACATAAAATTTACCATTTTAATCATTTTAAAACATACAATTCAGCAGCTCTTGGTACATTCAAGAACATTACTGCTATCTAACTGCAGAATCCACCATTAAATTTTAGAATTCCATCACCCTAGAAAGAAATCCCAGACCCACAAGCAGTCACTGATACCCACAAATCTACATTCCGTCTCTACAGATGTACCTATTCTAGACAATTTCACAGAAAAGGAATCAGGGTGGTGCCTGTGGCTCAGGGGGCAGGGTGCCGGCCCCATATACCAAGGGTGGTGGGTTCAAACCTGGCCCCAGCTAAAAATGCAACAAAAAATAGCTGGGCATTGTGGTGGGCGCCTGTAGCCCTGGCTATTTGGGAGGCTGAGGCAAGAGAATTGCCTAAGCCCTGGAGTTGGAGGTTATTGTGAGCTGTGACTCCATGGCACTCTACTGAGGGCAACATAGTGAGACACTGTTTCAAAAAAAAAAAAAAAAAAAAAAAAAGAAAAGGAATCACCATTGGGTCTGGCTTCTTTCACTGAGCCTATGTTCTCAAGCTTCCAGGTTATAGCACAGATCAACATCCGGTTCCTCTTTATGGCCAAATGATATTCCACCGCCATGGACAGATGACATTCTACTTATCCATTCATCTGCTGAGGGACTTCTGGGCTGTTTGCCCTTTTCAACTATTATGAATAATGTTGCTATGAACATTTGTGGGTCAGGCACAGCAGCTGACTCCTAGTACACTGGGAAGCTGAGGGGGGTGGATTGCCTGAGCTCAGGAGTTTGAGATCAGCCTAAGCAAGAGAGAGACCCTGTCTCTACTAAAAATAGAAAAATTAGATGGGCATTGTAGTGAGAGCCTATAGTCTCAGCTACTTGGGAGGCTGAGGCAAAAGGATCGCCTGAGCCCAAGAGTTTGAAGATGTGAGCTATGATGCCATGACATTCTACCCAGGGGACAGAGTGAGACTGACTTAAAAGAAAAATTGTATACTAGTTTCTATATGAACATCCGTTATCAATTCTGTTGTTACTCTTGAATAACAGGTTGGTTCCCTCAGAATTTCAAAGGCTCCTTCTGGGATTTAAGCTCCCAGTGTTGCTGTTGAGAAGTTCACAGCCAATCACAGTCCCAATTCTTTATGTGAGACTGTCTATCCATTCTGGAAATCTTCGGCGCCTTCTCTTTGCTCCAGGGCTCTTCAACCAAAAACCCTTGCCAAATCTGGGAATTTTCTTGAACTGCCTATCTCCTCTTTTTTTCCTCTTATTCTTTCTACAACCATGATCATTTAGAAGTTGGATCTACTGGGCCAAGTTTTCTAATATTTTTCTCTCTTGATTTCATCTTTTTGGTCTCCTTTCTGAGAGATTTTCTTAACTTTATTTTCTCACACTTCTGTGCTCAAATTTTTCATTTCCCAGAGCCTTTCTGCTCACTGAATATTTATATTTACATGAATATTCATGTTCTTGAATATTCATGTCACATCCAACAGAGTTTTGTTCATATTTAATGCCTGTATTATCTTCACTCGTTTCTCAGAGGACCAGCCATCTTCTCCAGAGAAGGTTCTTGTATGCCCACCATGGAGGGCATAGGCTTGGCCGCCATTGTCAGGGAGCTGTGTGAGGGAGAAGCTGGCAGGGTGGGAGTACTCAGCCTTCAGAATAGAAATGTTCATTTCATTCTCCTTTTCCTGCCTGGGAGGTCTTCATCCAAAGACCCTCCGTGACCCTCTCAAGAGACTAAGTATATATCCCAGACATGGGCTGGAAGAAGCCCGTGGGCAAAGGAGAACAGGACCTTAAAGGGGATGTTGGGGGAATGGGGGAAGGGGTGGTTGGTCTAAAGATTTGTTAACTGGTTCTCCTGTTTCTGGCTTCAGCAGCAGCCTCATTTATAGAGGCTACCATGTGGCTGAGTCCTGCTCTCCCCCCAGCTGCTAGCTTGCTAGCTTTGGACTTGGCTCCGGAGGATTTGCAGCTTTGTTGCTGCAGTCTCCTCTCCTGCTCTCTCTGTCCTTGAGGTGTTTATAGCCCTTTTTTTTTTTTTTTTTTTAAATCTCTTTACTGTCATTCTAGTGCAGGTTCAGGGGACACTGCAAGTAAATGTGCATGTTTATCTGAACCTAAACATGACTCTGTAAATGTTACTTTCCTGACCCCACCAAGTATGCTCAGGTGTGCCCTAAAGAGACTTGCTCCCTAATTAAATATAGCTCCCTGGACTGATGTTCAGAATAGACTAAAGGATAATGATGATGATAATACTAATATAAACTTGTTTCATTTCTGTCTCTTCTTTTTTTTTTAGAGACAGAGTTTCACTTTGTTGCCCTCGGTAGAGTGCCGTAGCATCACAGCTCACAGCAACCTCCAGTTCTTGGGCTTAGGTGATTCTCTAGTCTGAGACTCCCAAGTAGCTGGGACTACAGGCACCCACCACAATGCCCGGTTATTTTTTTTGTTGCAGTTTGGCTGGGGTTGGGTTCAAACCTACCACCCTGGGTATATGGGGCCAGCGCCCTACTCACTGAGCCACACGCGCTGCCTCATTTCTGCCTCTTCTAAGGACCAACTCTGTGCCAGGCACATGAAAGACACAAATTCCAAACCCATGACATGGGCACTGTACTCCATTTATGAAAGAAGAGACTGAGGTTCTCAGTAGCCAGTGAGTGGAAGAGGCCCACCTGCTCTCCTTTACTATCTCAATCCCAGCTGGGCTCAATCCCAGACAGGGCCCCCATGCTTCTGTGTCTCCTCTGAGTAGGGCCCATGGGTGTCAGCCACAGCAGGCCTGTCTGTGAGCCTGGGTCAGTTCTCTCTGCCCTCTGGCCCTCAGGCCCTCAGGTGGGGTTGCCATCTCAGCTCCTTTCTGGCACCAAGTCTCAACCCACCTTCTCCCTGCGCAGTCTTGGTTTCTGTTGCTTTGTACATAATTTCCACCTAGAATGTGCTTTCTTTTTCACAACCTAAATCCTAAACTGGTGGTTCCCTGGCTGGCTCCAGAGGCTGCCATACCAGGCCACATTGCTTCTGAAGCCAACTTCTCTAAAACTTAAGTCAGACAGACCCATCTCCAGAGGTGGACTTTCTGGACCACATCTAGAGGTGCCTGCTCTCCTCTCAGGTTCTCTAGTCTCTCCAGTCACAGGCCTGCCCAGTGAAGTGCTTTGGTCCCATGTCCCTAGGTTAATGCCAGGCCATTCCCCAAGCTTAGCCCTAACACCCCATTCCTCCAGGCAGCCTCCCCCAACTAAGCCAGGACCACAGGATAGTTTCTCAGAGCCCTGTGGCACTCAGCCCAGTGCCTGCCACTAATGTACTGCAATCATGCACATAGCAGTCCCTCTGCAGCAGCTGGATGACTGTAATACAGTAAAACAGATTAAATTAAATTTTTGAAAGCTATTTCCTGCAAGGCCTGTCTCTTCAGCCAGCATGGCAGGGACCAAGTCTGGCCATGTCTACCATCAAACCACCTGGGAGAGTGGAGGGGCAAGTCCCTGTTATGGGCAGGGTCCACACCCTTCAGCAGAGCAGAGATGACATGGCTTAGTACAAGGACAGAAGGCTGTGGGGGCTGGTTGGAACCCTGGTCCTGATGTCACCTCAGACAAGTACCAAATTTCTTTGGGCCTCACTTTCTCCATTCATAAAGGGGGGAATGATAAAACTAGGTTACAGTATAGGTTTGAGGACTCAACAGGTGCAACTATTTCCCCTGATCACCCTGCCCCTACCCCAAACAGTCTTTCCAAAAGCCTTCTCGAGAAACCTTGGCTCTGTGAGGAGTGATCCCCAGAGCAGGGAAGGACCCCAGACTTCCCATCCTTCCCCACTTGGCCATGGAGCTGCAGGCAGGTGCTCCCCACCTCAGGATGGAACACTCATCCCACTCTCCCTCAAGAGGCCAGACTGACAGGACGCAGGGACTCCTGCCTCCCCTGCTGACGACACTCCCCCACGCACAGCAGACACGGTCAGGGATATCCTAGTGTGCTACACCCCCTTCCCATTGCTGTAATCAGCCCAGGGCCACCTCAGTCATAAGTCTGGCATAGCAGGAAACAACTCTGTACCACCCACCTGGGCACCCCAGCCTAAGTCACTGCTGTGTTCAGACTCTTGTGGGCCACCATCTGCCTTCCAACCTGGTCAATAGCTGGGACCAAAAGAGAAGAGGGCCCCTGGTAGGAAGATTTCATCTCCAGAGGCTTAAACCTCTTGGTTTCAACAACACTGATCGCTCAGGTCATAGCTGATAAGAGGTCTGTGTGACCTGATCCTGAGCCAGGGGTCTCTTTTGTTGTTAAAAAAAATTTTTTTTTGAGACAGAGCTTTAAGCTGTCACCCTGGGTAGAGTGCCGTGGCATCACAGCTCACAGCAACCTCCAACTCCTGGACTCAAGCAATTCCCCTGCCTCTACCTCCCAAGTAGCTGGGACTACAGGCGCCCACCACAACGTCCGTCTATTTTTTTGGTTGCAGCTGTCATTGTTGTTTGGCAGGCCCGGGCTGGATTCAAACCCGCCAGCTCAGGTGTATGTGGCTGGCACCTTAGCAGCTTGAGCCACAGGCACCAAACCTGTTAATTTTTTTTAACAAAGTATTAATCTATTAATACAGTAAAACAGATTAGATAAAATTATACTTAAAACACAGAGGACAAACTTGGAAGGCTACTTCCTGCAAGGCCTGTCTCTTCAGCCAGCATCCACAGGACTCTGAGCAACCCAAGGCCCAGCTTCATCTTCAGCATCATGGGAAGGTGATGCACGTGACAGGGCAGAGCCCAGAAAAATGACCTCCTTAGTGTATTCACGTTGCTTGGGCCAGAGATCCTGAGAATTCTAGTCCCCAGGCTTCTCCAGTACATCCCAGGCACGTGCCTGCTGGTTCACTGGACCAACCGATTATATCAATAATAACCAGCATTTACAGGGCACTTGCTAAATATCAGGTGCTGTCCAAACACAACACATACTAATGCATTTCAAACAATGAATGAGGAACTGTTAACATTTCCATTTTATAGATGGGCCAAGAAAGATTAAAACACTTGTTGTGAGTCACATAGCAATAGTCTGCACAGCCCACATGATCTGTATCCCTTGTCACTCTGTGTGGTTCTGATGAGGAAAATGTGCCCTAGCCTGGACCCTGCCCCAGCCCCCTCTGAGTCACCTCCCTGCCCACCCCCCAGGATCCAGCTTGCCCATGTAGGGTAAAGCAGTGGAGGGAAGGGAGGCCAGGGAGGCCACCTGCACTCACCAACACACGGTCTCCTAGGCGCAGATCTTTGTCACCTCGCTTCACGGAGCCACTGTCTGAGAGGTTGGAGCCCGACTCGTTGCCTGTCTTCACCGAACTGTTGAGGACGCTCTCCCGCAGCGGGATGACACGGCTGGTCAATGGGGGCGTGGCCGTGCCCGAATGCAACGACAGGTTCTGGGCAGTCAGCGACTCCACTGAATGGGTGTCACTGCCCGAGCCCTCGGCTGTGGGCTGCCGCGTGAGCTTGGAGGGCCGCGTGAAGATGCCCTGCAGGGCTGGGCACTCGAAGTAGCGCACGCCGCCCACTGCACCATCATTCTTGCCCACTGGGTCATCCAGTACCACGCCTGCCCACTGCCCGGGTGCAAACTGTGTCTCGCCTAGGTACTGTACCACGCCTGGCTTCACGCCATTCACCCACACCCGCTCGCCCAGTACAAAGTCCCCCAAGAAGTCATCGCCCACCTCGGCCACCTTTGGGCCCGGCTTCTCAGGGGCGGTGGCTGCCGGGGAGGAGGAGGAGCTGGATGCCTGCTTGTGCAGCGGGGAGCCTGCAGAGAAGAGGAGGGAGAGGCAGAGGTTAGTGTTGGTGTGAGACCTGGATCTAGGGCACAGAGTCAGGGCCAGAAGTGCCTGATGAGAAAACCGAGGCAGACGTGGCTGACAGTGTGGCCTTGGGCAGGTCGCTCCCTCCTTTTCCAGCCCCTCTGGGAGGTTCTCTTCCTCAGAAAAAATAGCTGCTTCCCGCTACTCAAGGTCACTCAAAGTCTAGGGCCAGGGATGAACTACTCTTGAGAATCACAAGCCACCACGTCCCCACCCTGGTGGGGCCCTCCACTGTTAACCCAAGACCACCCATGGCCCCTGTGTGGGACCCAGATGGTGTTCGAGTGATCTCTGGGACCCATCTTTGTCCCTAGACAGCTCCAGGGGTCTTCCCAGGACTATATTAACCCAAGAACATGGGAGGGAAGATAAGGAGGTAGAAGCAGGCACGTAGTCCTCACCATTTCTTCGAATGAACTCCAGGCTCTCTGGCCTGATATGGGCTTAGCGGTCACCTCATCCAGCCCCTACCTATGAGAATGACTCTGAGGCCCAGGGAGGCCCAAGGCCACACAGAAGAAATGGGACTCGAACCCAGAGAGGGGCTGCCTGTTAGGCCTGAGCGCTGACATGCTACAGATAACAGAAGGAAGGGAAGCAACTTGCTCAAAGTTGTTCACAAAGCCACAAAGCAGGGCTAGCACCATTGTGAACATATGTGTGCCAAGCTCCCTACATAGGGCCTGCCAAACCCATCCATTAGCCTGCCCTGTCCTGAGCTGCCCGTCCATCTGCACCCCTAGGTGTTGAGGCTGCCCCATTCCCTGCCCGACCCAGTATCAGGCAGAAAGCCCTCCACTCCAGAGGATGACCAGCCTGTGAAACAGCACGGCAACAGCAAATAAGCAGGCACTGTCATACCTCACTCAGAGCTGGTGTTTCGGGTTCATTCCTAGGAAGCCAGGGGAGTGGCTGCAGGGCAGCAGCCCCTACGGGCAGCCACTGAGCTGCAGGCTTGGCCCCATCCAGCCATTGCCCTCCAGAACCGGGAGCTGACACTCAAGCACAGAGCTTCAGGGGTGACCAAGCACAGGGATCTCCCTCCAGGGCACTGGCAGCAGGTTGTGAAAGGCAGAAGCATGTAGCCACCCAGGGCCTGGACAGCCAGTGTGAAAAGCCCTGACTAGTGGGAGGGCACGGGGTGTGGCTCCTGGACAATGCAGTAATTACACCCTTTCTCTAAGCTGTGTGCTCAGAGCTCCACACACAAGAGCTCACCTGATCAGATACCAGGCACTGTATTCCAGCTGCCAGACAGCTGGCAGCACAGCCAAGTGCTGGCCACAGGCCTCTGGCTCTTGGTGCAGGACATTCCCATGCATTTGACAAGTGTGTGCCAAGCACTGGCCATGTCAAGCCCATTCTGTCACCTCAAATCTCAGACTTCCCTGAAGGGACTGGTTTCCTAGAAACTGACCAAATTCTACAGCCCCCTATGTGCAGGGAACAATCTCACATTTATTCCTGTGTGAGGATCTCTCCCCTCTTTCTCCTGTTTAGAGAAGAGCCCAGAGGGCACCCTGGGCTGGGTGAACCCAAGGCTCCTCTCTTCCTCTGAGATCTCAGGAGCGGCAGCTGTAGCAGCTGAGGGAGCAGGTCGTGGAGCCCCCTGCATGGACCCTACCTCCTCCCAGCCCTGCTTCATCTTTGCCGTATGCCTCAAAGTCTCCATTTCCTTCAGTACCTTTTGTCACAGGGTAGTCCGTGCCTGGCCCATATAAATGAATAAAACAATGCTGACTATTACTGTTATTTTGATGAGAATGATTTATATTCAAAATAAGGAATTTAATAAAATTTTAAAACACAAGGCCCAGGAGTTAGACAAAGGACTTCCAGAAGGTCCTGGAACTGCCCTACCCCTACCTAACTAAACTGAGAGGGGCAGATGAGCCGCCAGCGTTGCTGTAAAATACCAAGTGGGAACACTTAGCTCTCACAGACGTCATCGTGCTGGTTCCTGCACCCAGGCCGAGATCCTGGGAGTCCCAAGCTCTGATCTAGGACGAGCTTGTATTACAATTTTTGCTGGGATCATGATCATACCAGTAACAGAACTGAGAGGCTCATACACACTCACACATACACACACATGCTTACACACGCTCACAAGCATACAAATACACATATACACACTTACACATGTGTGTGCATGCATACACACCTACACACCCCTGTCCCTCGCTCACTCGCTTTCTGCCTAGATTCCCCTTGCCTGGTCAGCTGGCCCCTTCCTTAGGAAGCTGCTCTGAAAAGCACCAAAGCTACAAATTACATAGTGCCACAGGCCCCAGCCCCTTTTCACACTGTCCAAGGAGCCCGTGGGCCCCATCACCATCAACAACACAGGTTAGGCTGGGCGCAGTGGCTCATGCCTGTAATTAATCCCAACACTTGGGAGGCTGAGGTAGGTGGATTGCTTGAGCTCAGGATTCAAGATCAGCTTGAGCAAGAGATCCTGTCTCTAAAAAAAAAAAAAAAAAAAA